AAATAGTCTGCGATTTTTTTTTTGCGTAACTTGTCAGTGAACTACGGCTCTGTGTAGTAAATTCTGCTCCATCTGAAAGCACGTGATGATGATTTCCTGCTGATTACAGAACCGGCATTACTAACAAATTGCGCATGGCAATCGCATTCGATTAATCATGCAGCCCTAGTTGTGACGGTGAGGAAATTTTCCCACCAGTTAATCGACGCGTGACAACACCGGTAATACACCGTTGGGGGGGGTTAGTTCGTTTTAGTTTTCCTCTTTTCTTCAGATTTCTTGGCTTTCAAATAGCTTGAAAAAGCACCGTGTGCATTTTACTTTCACTTTCAAATTAGCGGTAATTCGGCGTTGATTCAATTCAAGCAACAACAACGTCAAACTCATAGAACTTTTATTAACAAAACGAATAAAAATACACCATATATGCCTAATAAAATAACAAATTACTTGGGCTACACAAAGTTTAAATAGGTATATAAAACTGAAAATCAGCAAACACTGGGGAACCAAATAAATCAGAAACATAGATCGTTTATTAGCAAAACGAATAAGAAAGCTTGGAGGCACGGCATATACACCTTGATGTAAAATAAAATAAATAAAATACACAAAGTTTAAATAAAGTAATCAGCAAACACTGTGGAACCAAATAAATAAGAAACGAATGTTTAAAAAAACTTCCAGTCAATAGGCTTTTCAAAATCTAAAATATTGTCAAACAGTCGTTCGCGCACGGTTCGGCACGCTACATTGAGCATTTAGTTTTTAAAAGTGTCTGTCCTCTAACTGAACTAGGCTAAATAATTTTTGTTACTATAAAAAAATCAAAACGACAGTGGGGGGCGGTGCCGCGATAGGCGTTGCGGCTTAACTCCGGTATAACCGAAAACACCGTCTATCGCAGCAAGCCTAATGCAAATAATTTTTTAAGTAGCCGAAACGTCTAAGAAACTAAAATAACATTTCTGTCTCACACTTGTCTTGCACATACACACACACACACACACACACACATTAAATAGATTTCATGTCATCTCTCAGCTCATCGAAAACTGAAGTAAACTGAAGCACTCAGAGACAGTCTAAAGAACACTCTTTAGTACAGTGAAGCAAATAATACTTATAATAATATTAAAGGCGTCATTTGATGTTGCTTAGACGGCATTGTTGTCTACTCTCCCAGGATCAGGAAACAGTCCTCCATTCTAGTCGTGTCCTCTTTAGGAAGGCCAAACAAAGTATTTTCGCTTTCACAATGAAACACACAGCATCTTCACATGGCGGCGGCGGTGACAACAACAATAAAGTTAAGCCTTCTTTCTTTGCATGAACATTTGGGCGGTGTTGTGCAAATCTTCCCACACAGTGACGTAGACATGTGGGGGCGTGTTTAAACGAGGCATTTTAGGAGGATGTGGACCAGTCTTAACTTTTATAAAGAATATCTCTTTGGGTTTGAGACTTTAATCTTTGCAACTTTAGGGATCTTATCTATTCACGAACCGCTTGTAACACTCCAAAGAGAAAGGAAAACTTGAAATCGCATTATATGACCCCTTTAATATTTCAGATAAAAATAAAATTTCCTCCACAGAAAGTTTTACACTTGCTGTTTTTCTTCATTAAATGTACTCCATTTAATCACAGTGACGCTGTTTTTGTAGATGTTGCTTACAAAAAGACAGTCTGTTCTTTATCAGGCTCTTAAAAAGATTTTTTTTGGACTGTTGGACGGTGTCCTAATCTCCACATCACTTTCTGTTCCTCAGCCTGCAAATATCCTCTTAGACGAACACGGACATGTTCGCATTTCTGACCTGGGCCTGGCCTGCGATTTCTCCAAAAAGAAGCCTCACGCCAGCGTGTAAGTTCCTCTTCACAAGGCTTCAAAACCTTATCTTTTATTAGTGCAAAATAAAAGTGTCTGTTGTTTGGGGAAGGTGTGGTTGCTTCTGTTCTCTGACGATGTTTCTTTGAGCATACACAAGTTCTTTGTTGTTTCATACTCGTGCATATTGCAGTCACGTTATACATGCATATAGTGTTTGCGCTCACATTTTCACATACATTGTTTTGGCTAGGGTTATTTCAGTGTCCTTTCATCTGAATTGTTGTAATGAATCTCTTTATTTATTATTATTTCAATGTTTTTTTTTTAGAAACATTTCACATTTGAAGGGGACAATTAAGTATTTTTTTAATTACCTCAGTGTACACTACTGTTCATTTGATCAAAAATGCAGTAAAACATTAATATTGTGAAATATTTTTACAATTTAAATGAACTAATATTTTAATATATATTAAAAAGTACTTAATTCCTATGGTGGCAAAGCTGAATTGTCAGTGTCACATCCTTCAGAAATCATTCTAATATGCTGATTTGATGCAGCAGAAACATTTATTATTATTATTATCAATGCTGAGAAGTTTTTACTTTTTTTTTTTTTTCCAGAGTACTTTGAACAGAACAAGGATTTGTTGAAAATAGAATTTTTGTAATATTATAACTGGCTTTCCTTTTTTATCAATTTATTATGTCCCTGCTGAATAGAAAATATTAATTTCTTTCAAAAAAGAAATCTTACTGTCCCCAAACTTTTGAATGGTGGTGTAATATTCAGACAAACGGATGTTTTCAAACCAAAGCTCTGTCTCATGCACTGAAAGCAAGTTGTGGATATGACATCATAGCCGTGACAATTTTAACACATGACACCCAAGTTTACATGTCAGCACCAATTCAATGCTCATTTCACATTCAAAGGTATGACACCCAAGTTTACATGTCAGCACCAATTCAATGCTCATTTCACATTCAAAGGGCCTGAACAGTTTTATTTATGAAATGTTCTCTCTTAAATATAGACAGTGCAATCTTAAAAGCACAGTAGCGAAAACATCCTGGTAAATGCAAAGGGTCAGAGAGAGGATGAAAAACCTTTTGTGTGTAATGTAGCAGTTGTTTATCTGTTTGTGTTATGTATGAGAATGAGCTTTGTTGTGTTTACAGTCAGTGTGTGCTCAGCCTGGGGGGTGTGTGTACGCTTTGAATTTAATGTGCATTAATTGCTGTGTTTGCAGAGGTACTCATGGCTACATGGCACCTGAGGTTCTGCAGAAAGGAACAGCGTATGACAGCAGCGCCGACTGGTTCTCTCTGGGCTGCATGCTGTTCAAACTCTTGCGAGGGTAAGACTGCCCTCTGCAGCGGCCCGCTCATGAATTCTTTATCTCTCTCTCTCTCTCTCTTTTAGTCTCTGTCTGTGTTTCTCACCTGTTTGATGTGGAGTGTAAAGTTTAAATGTCAGGGGTTTGGAAGTAGGAGGTCAGGAGCAGACATCATAGAGAAGAAAGACACAGAGAGTGGGGGTGGAGACCACTGAAACGGTTGCTAGGTAGAGAGTGGGGAGGGGGTGTAATGGGGGAGGAGTCTGGGGCATGTCTCTCCACTGAGTGTCATACGCACTTCAAAGCAGTATGGAAGCGGGTCAGTACGGGACTGGAAACACACTCTATTTTTTTTTTACTTTACAAAACAAAAAACATGAATTCTATATGTATTCTATATACTCGATGTGCATGTATATATTTATCATTATATATAAATGAATTATATGATTTTATAAATTAATAAAAATGATTAATTATATAAAATTATATAATTTATATATATATATATATATATATATATATAATTTAAATTGAAATACCATTTTAGTGATAATTTAATTATATATATAATTGTAATCTTTTCAAGCATTATCATTTTAATTTATATCTACATTTGTGTATGCAATGTGTATGTGGTGATTTATTTTAATTTATACCATGGTCTGTTTGAATACTGGATTCTGATTGGTTGGCAGGTGTGCATTAAAACCCTTTAATGCACAGGTAGTTCCAAGTCAGTTTAATCACCGTTCTATATTAATGTGCTGCTTTAATTGATGCGCACACACACACACAGAGAGAGAGAGAGAGAGAGGTTGGAGATCGCAGATTGTGCTGTGCGCACACAGAAACTTGTCAGCGCTTCCCCGCGACTTTCATTTAAAAAATATCCTAGATACTAGATAGCTACATTATATTCCTCAGCAACAAGGTGGTAAAATCACTGTTTTTGAAGAAATTAAACACAGTTTAGTGGATTTGTGGATAGACGCGGGTAACACACACAACTCTCATTTTCTGTCATTTTTACCCATCCGGTCAAATGTTGCACTGCAAACAATAACAGCTTTAACTTGTCAATGCTGGAAAATGATGAAGGTATTAGCGGGATAATGCATGGCTAGCTGTGCATTAAACGATTTCGCGTCGGGTGGTTCTTGGCCTCCACGTCGTGCATTAAAATAGTTTAATGCACAGCTAGCCATGCATAATCCCTTACATAAATGTGTGTATGTGTGTGTAAATATAAATACATTTTAATGATTATTTTTTTATTTTCAGTTATCATTTTAATTTAACTCTAGTTTTTTTT